GAGTGAATAAATGAACCGCTCCTACACACAGTGTACTTCCTCCTTACAACAAGTCCATGTGATATGTATCACAACCCCCTCTTACCCATCAGAAAACAAATTGATTTCTACTTACATCACACAGTATAGCCTTAGATCTTAAACCCCGCATTGGCATTCCGGATTCTTGACCCTCTCTACCACATGCACAGTTACTGAACAAATAAAATGATTGCAGCCACCATGTTTTGGGGGTAACTTTTCTTTAAAGATCTACCTACCAGCAGCCTCTGCCGAAGAGGCTGATTAGGTAACCATGTTTATACCGTGATGCCTCTCCGGGATACAGTCTATCGGCTCGGGGCTGGACACCCACAGTCTAAGGTTTGCCAATCCATTGACTGGCGAGGAAACAATCAGACTCAAACTTCGAATTCTGAACTCAAAGAACCAGAGGTCTAACTCAGTTACTGGGAGAGATCTCAACTGAAAAGTCATACAAGTCTTGTCTTGAGAAACTACCACCACTCAAACAAGCTGCCATCACGGTCGGACAAGAGGGGAAGGCGGGCTGGTCTGCAGTTACAAGAGCACAGCTGTGCTTTAAATCCGCATGGCAGTTGGGTGTGGTGGCTCACGCCTGTAATCCCAGCCCCTTGGGAGTCGGAGGCGGGTGGATTGCCTGAGTCAGGAGTTTGAGACCAGCCTGGCCAACATAGTAAAACCCTATTTCTACTAAAAATACCAAAATTAGCCAGCCGTGGTAGCAGGCACCTGTAATCCCAACTACTTGGGAGGCTGAGGCAGGAGAATCACTTGACCCAGGAGGCAGAGGTTGCAGTGAACTGAGGTCACGCCACTGCACTCCAGCCTGGACAACAAGAGTGAAACCCCGTTTAAAAAAAAAAAAAAAAAATCTGCATGGTAAGTAAGAGACAGAGAAGCTGCTTTGGCTCGTGCTGACTTTTGGTTCCTAGTACCAGTCTTGCCAGGCTGATTTACCTCTCACCCCTGGGTTTGGTGAAATTTTCCTTTATTGCTTCAATAATTTCTTGAGAAAGTCTGAGTGAATTTCTGTCTGCCACTCACAACTCAACTGGGACTAAAGCATTAACCCTGGAGGGAAGTAAAGATTCTCAAATTCTTCCCAGGGCTCGGTTTTCTCACTTGTTTAAAAAAAAAAAGAAAAATTGATGGACTAGGAGCCTAAAATTTCTTGCTTCCATGGAAGTATAAGAACTCCCAATGCATCATGCCAGTGCCAGGAGGTAAGCAAAGACTCAGAGAAGGAAAGGGAAGGCAGGAAAGATTTTGTTGACTCATCTCCCCACTTCCTCCCCTGGCCAGCAGTTCTGAGGAGGAGGAAACAATCCTAGGAAGTTGCAGGCAGCTTTGCTCAACACAGAAAGAGTGACCAGCACCATGATGTCACCACGCTGCCAGAAATTATGTCTGCTGCAGAAGGAAGCCAATGCCGTCTTTGAGGCAAATGAATGTCTTACTGAGGCAGCATCTCAGGCACTGCTGCTTATGTCAACGGTAGAGGAGCTTCCAAAGACAAAGCAACAATGGCGGCTGCATGCCCTGGTATGACCTGCTGGGTGGCAAAGCTACCAAAGCTATGAATCTTTCTTCTCTATGTGTCCCTGTTGATCAACGGAGAAAGAGTCCTTTTCTGGTCTGGCCCTAGACCCACTGCTTGATCACAAATGCTTTCCTCAAAGCTACTCAAGTCCCACTTTGGGTTTCTTTGACTCCTGTTCTCTGGGATAGGCTTGTCCTCAGTCCCAGGTACACATTACCTTTCTCAGATCCTTTCAGCTGTTTCCTGTTCCCAAGTTCAATGGATCAATGACCAACATGAATTCCTGCTAGCTGGAAGGAGGGATGCAGAGACAAGCTTCCCCACAGATGTTCCAGGGAGCTCTGCAGCCATCTTACCTCACCCTGCAGCATCGCCAACTTGGACTTCCACCCTTCTCACCAGGGACGGGCCCATTCTCAGCCTCCCTGCATGGCTTTGTTGAGGGGAGAGATCTTAGCTCTTAGACTCTAAGGAAATTACTTAACCTCTTAGCCTATTACTTCAGCCACAAATTGGTTAAACTGCCTTCTAAACTGCGTAGCGTTGTTCCATGATATCCCAACAGAATGATGTGTGAAGCCTGTGGCCTGCCACCTGGTGTTTACAGACTCAAAACCACCTTCCATGCACATCTCTCTTTAGACCAATGAGAACACAGAGGGGCTCTGATGAGCAGGCAGAGCCAGAGGTGGCTGGGTACCCCTGTGGACACTCTGCTTCAGGCACTCCCAGCCAAGTGAGGGGGGACACAGGCAGAGTCCTGGCACCCTGTGGGCAAGGCCAGCCTCAGGGAGGCGGCGGATGGTGCTGGCAGGCCACTGCCCAACGATGCAAACGGAAATGCCTCAACACACCCACTGTGTCCCAAGGTCAAAGGCATCACAATGGGGTCTTTGTTCCCGAGTTCAAAAACCTCACTCACCACTCCTTCCAAAGCCAGCTTGCAGGATGCACAAGATGCCTCCTCTGCCCCGCCGTCAGGCCTCCAGCTCCCCTGAACTGGGAAACCACGCTCCCAGAGATGTGCAGTTTGGCCCTCTTCCTTTCTCCCTCCACCTACTTTGTTTCTCTGGTTAGGCTAGTTGTGTACTGCAGGCCTCCGGGTAGATAGCAACAGATGGGTTTGAATAGGCAGGCACAGCACTCCAGGTCCTGTGCAAACATCTGCAGCTGAGCAGCTGCCTCCATCAAGGGTAATGATACAAAACTCCCAGAAATAGAAAAGGCGCGTTCAGGGAAGCTCTTTCTACCCGACACTCAGGGTCCCACCAAGACTTCCAGCTTTGGAGTTCACCTGAGAGGTTCAAGGAGGTCACTTGCTCCAGCCCCTGCTTCCAACCAGCCCAAGGTTACTTCCATTTTATGGAAGGAATAACTGAGGCCCAGAGAAGCTAAGGGACCTGAAGCCCCCAGCGGGCAGTGGCAGCTAGAATGTGGCTTCTAAGAACAGCAGCTCCCTTGCACAGTCTGTGTGCCAGACCAGCCTGCTCCGACCACAGGTGGCCATGAGGAGCTGGGGTGCCTGGGCCCCCTCTCACAGCCATCAGCAGCTCCTCAGGAGAGCAGGCATCTCCCCCTTTGTCAGGGCTCCTTCACCCAATCCTAGGCAGGACTCCAGTGTCCCAGGGTCCTGTAGATGGGCTAGGAGGGGAGAGGGCACACATGCCCTGGGAATCCTGGTGTTTCCTGCAGGGTAACTTCCTCTCATGTGCTGTCTCCTCTTCAGCCATCCTGGCCAGTGGCTGGTGGCCCCCAAAGACATGGGGGCTCACTACCTCCTGCCGCTCAAGGGTTAACAGCTATGGTGTGACAGGCAGGCATGGTGGAAGGACCACACCTAACCAGAAGTTCTGAGAAGAACCAACCACTTTTCCTGATGCAACCTCTGTAACAAACATCTCCCTCACCTGAGGTCTCCCATGCCACCATTAGAGATCCATTACTTGGGTCTTCAGGTGCTGGGGTTTTCCAGAGCCAGACCCCCTGACATCACCAGCTTGCTTTGGAGGCAGGGAGGTGGCACCATGAGCATGAAAAAGGCTGGGGACAAGGCCACGCAGGGACGAGCCCAGTGTGGGCACCTGGGACGAAGGGTTGAGGCCTCACAGCAGGGACATGGCTCTGCTGGGGTGCGGGGTGTGGGCGGGAGTGGGGGGGGGGGAACTGCTGCTGCTGACCACCTTGGCGATGACATCAGGCACAAGGGCAGCCACAACCTGATCTGAGAGGGGATGAGGCGCTGCAAAGACCTCAGAGCAGAAAGGCCACGAGTCAGGCCTATGCGCGTATCACAGCCCTGTTCTCCTGCAGCCACCTTCCCCGGGAGGCCCGCTGGGATCTCCTCAGCATTCCCACAGCTCCTGGCCACTGGAGGCACAGGAGCTCTGCCTCGGCCCTCAGGAGACTCGCTTCCCCTCAGCCTCCCCGTGCTTCGGTTCCTGTCTCTACAGAGCGGGCACTGCCGTCGTTCACTTCGCCTTTCCTTTCCGGGTTTAAACACTGGAAAGGCACAGAGTGGGGCTAGGAGAGGAGAACAGGCCCTTCCCCTCTGCAAGTATCCACCAAACACCATTGAGGAAGGCTCCAAATACAGGGGCCTTCCCCGCAGCAAACCGAAAGCGAAACAAAACACCCCCGAAACCAGTGTAAGCCCCGGGAGGCTGTGGGCGGATGGATGTCCTGGGCTCCAGTTCCATCTCGGGCTGTCAGGGGACCAAACGGACCTGGACTGACGGGCTTGGCTGTCCTCTCTCCACCTGCCATGACTGCTGCTGCCAGCAGTCCTGGACAGGGACACCAAGGTACCTTGCCCCCTCCGTGGCACCCCGAGAACCAGCAGCCCCTGGCAGCTGGCAGCACGGCCCCTGTCAATGCAGGACCCCGCCTGGCCTGGGCGTGGCTGCAGCCCCCTCACTGGGCTTGCTTCCCAGGTCCCAGGGCCTCCAGCTCGACAGGGGGCAGTCAGCTCCCCAACCAGACCCCAGCCAACTCCCCCAGGCCTGGCCCTTCCTCAGACGACTGGCCAGGGACCCCGGACCCCACGGTGTGCCCTGCCCGTGCCTGGACCCTGGCTTGGAACATGGCCTGTGGGGGGTGCTGTTGTTGGGCATCCCCGAGCTGAGAGCTCCCGCCCTACGGTCTTCCGAGGGCACGGGACCCCATCAGGGCTGGCCGCTTATTCCCGTGCTGCGCCTGGCCCTGCATTAGCAAAGGCCGGTTAATTACCCCGAGCAGGGGAGACATTCTTCCACCACCAGGCAAACTGCTGGCCTGCCGCCCAAACCAACAGGGGGAAACTTCAGCCGCCTCGGCCCTCTCTCTGCCAGATGGAAATAACGTATAGCTGCAGCGGTGGGGGAGGAGGCAGGAACAAAAACCAGCCTGCCCGGGGGCCAGACCGGAACCCCAGTGGACAGCCGGCGGCCAGGGCACTCACCGCTCTCGTTCTTCTCGATGACGTCCACCACCTCCCCGGCCTGGAGGCTCAGCTCCGAGTTCTCCTGCTTCTTATAGTTGGACACCACCACGTACTGTTCCAGGATCATGGGCTCGGCGGTGGCGTCGGCACCTGGCGAGGGCAGAAAGCACGCGGTGAGCCAGCGGCCGGCCATGGCCCCGCGGCCGGGGCGCCCCCTGTCCATCGGCCTCCTCGGGGGAGGCTGCTCTGTCGCCAGTGCCGCTCGCAGGGGCAGCCCGCAGCCGGGGCTCGAAGCTCACAGGACGCCAAGGACAGGCCATATAGCAAGGCCCCACACCGGCCCGCTGCACCGCGGGGACCGGGGGACATGGGGAGCCAGGGGGCCGGGGAGGGGACGCGCAGGAGGAGGGACGGCAGAGGCAGAGGCGGAGGCGGAGACCGAGGAAGCTCAGGAAGAAGCCTTGTGCTGCGATGAGTTAGTCACAGCCCGGCATGAGGGAGCCTACGGGGAGGCCTGGGGCCAACGGGGTCTCTCCAGCCTCCCTCTCCGGCCGGCAGGGGCACGGGGGAGGGCAGTGAGCCAGCGGGTGGGCGGCCCATGAGGGCTGAGGCCAGAGGCAAAGGAAAGGCAAGCAGGAGGCTCCAGCCTCTGCCCCCAACCCCTGCAAACCCGAGAGAAAAGGCAGCCCTGCTCCCTCGGGCGGGAGAGGGAGAGGAGAGAGCGGGAGAGAGCTTCTCCACGGCCCAGGCCCAGGAGAGGAGTCAAGAGGGTTTGAGGCCGCCAATCACTGGGGTTTACTCGCAACCCTTAAATAGAAACACATGAGACCCATCGAATGAGGAGCCGGGGGTGGAGGCAGGGGAGGGGGAGGAGGCCCAGACTGTTTACTTGAAACCCAAGAAGAAAGTCCCCGCGCGCCAGCGGCTGGCGAGCCCAGCCCGCCCCCCGCCAACTTTTCCTCAAGTTCGCTCGGTTCCTGCCCCTTGGGCTCACCCAGGCGTTGCCACTCAGCCCAGGCCAGGTGCAGTCAGACCGGACTCAGGCCTGCCCCCAGCCCTGCTTCCAGAGAGGACCCTCTGGCTGCAGAGACTGACTCAGTTTCCCTCTGCCTTTCAGTGCCAGGGCTTGTGGTCAGGCTTCTGGCAGTTTGAGGGGCCTGAGGGGTCAAAAGCTGGGTGTGGCAGTGGGAGATCCCCAGGAGCAAGCAGCTTCTCTGTTCTCCTCAGCCACAGGACCAGCGTGACATTCGCTAAGCAGGCACCAGGCAGGAACGTAGACAGGCTTGCTGCTCTCTTAGCTTCCTAGCTGTGTGGCATTGGATGTTGCTTAAACTTCTGCACTTCAACTCTTCCGTAGGGTGGGGGTGTGGATAAGACACCTAAAATATGATGTGTTTTTAGCTAGGAGCGAAAAGGATCCACTAGCCAGAGATGGACTAGTCGCCTCCTATAGGAAGCCTTCCGAGACCACCCGCAGCCCTAAGAGAATTCCTAGTACACTTTTTTTTTGAGACAGGGTATCTCTTTGTTACCCAGGCTAGAGTGCAGTGGTACAATCATGGGTCACTGCAGCCTTGACCTCCAGGGTTCAAGCAATCCCCCCACCTCAGCCTCCCATGTAGCTGGGACCAAAGGCACATACCACCATACCTGATTAGTTTTTTTTTTTTTTTTTTAAGAGATGAAGTCTCACTGTGTTGCCCAGGCTGGTCTTGAACTCCTGGGCTCAAGTGATCCTCCTGCCTTGACCTCTCAAAGGCCTGTGATTACAGACATGAGCCACTGCAACTGGCATACTTAAACTATATGTCTGCAAATCTCCTTGAAGGCTAGGGGGCTTCATATCACTAGCCTGGCTACAAAAGTGGCTAAGCATCTCCAAGCGCCACACATCCCCCTTGGCACCTCAGCCTACAGCCACATTCCCCACACACCTGAGTCTGACTTAGCAAATGTGATGTGCCAGGCACATTAACCACCCTACTTCATGCTCACAACACCCCCCTTATCTTCCCATTTCACAAAAGACCAATCAGAGGCCCAGATCGGGCAAGAGACCACTCTAGCTCCCACAGCTGCGATGAAGAGCATCACATTCATTCGGAATGATTTTGTTCAGGCTCAAGCCCATCTGTCTTTCCACTGCAGAATAATTGCCTCTGATTTGTTTCCATCAGTCTGGTTCTTCTAGCACAATGATCCTCAACTTGGTAGCACAGAATCACCTGGTGAGCTTTTTAAACCTACTGGTGCTGGGCTCCAGAGACAGGTTTCTTTGGTCTGGGACCCAGGCATGAGTAGTTTTTGGACATCCCCTCTGTCCCTATGGTGCTTGCATGCAACCAGGAGCAAGAAACACTTCTTAGATCTTTGGGTCCTTCTGTGGGGGAGGCTCCCTCCAGCCTAGGGCAGACGGCAATGGCCACATAACTTTGCAAAATCCCAAGGGGAGGCCTCCTTCCAGGGAAGGAAACCCCACTGCCCCCGCCCGTTTTCTCCCATGAGGTGTGGGCCTTGCAGGCCCGTCTCAGCCCTTTGGAGAAGCAGAAGGGACCCTGCTGCAGCTGAGGGTTCGCACGTGCACAGTCCCGGCAGCCCCTCTAAAGCCAGGATGGAATTTCAGACAGAAATGCAACCAACAGCCGGGCAGCAGGGCCTGCTTCACCTCTGTACTCAGGCGTGCCAGCTTCTGTGCCTGCCCCTGCCAGCTGGGCAGAGGCAGCGCGGGGGGCTGCACTGACCGACTACCTCCCGCTGTGCCCCTGGGAGGATGGCAGTGCCTGTTCCATGCCTGGAGCCTCTGTGGCCAACAGCACTTCTTAACACACCCGGCATAGAAAGGGCCATCCCTGCCCTGCGAGAAACGGGGACTCCTTTCCCAGTGTGGGGGCACTGGGTGAGAAGAGAGGGAAAGAAAGGCTCCAGCAAGAAACAGAAGAGAGAGTTCTGTGGCGGGTTAGAGAGCTTGCCAGCCCCGAGTGTGCCCAGATCACAGCAATAGTGACAACGAGCCTTCACTAGTGCTGACTCCAAGGCACCCCATAGAATCCAGCTGTCTCGTCTGGTCCTTGGAGCAACCCCGGGCAGTAGGTCCTGTGATGGCCCCATTTTACACACGGGCAAACCAAACCTCATGAGGGTAAGTGACTTCCGTAAGGTCACACAAAGCCCACCTGACACCACTGCCTATGATCTTCTGCATTATACGTGGCCTACAATGGGCTGCCGGTGCCTGGTCCCCAGGGAAGGGCCCATTACATCCCAGATACCTGGGACACAGTTGCTGCTTAATAAAGACTAGAGTATGGGTTTCTTTTTTTTTTTTTTTTTGAGATGGCGTCTTGCTCTGTTGCCCAGGCTGGAGTGCAATGGTGTAATCTTGACTCACTGCACTGTCCGCCCCGAGTTCAAGCTATTCTCCAGCCTCAGCCCCCCAAGTAGCCAGGACTACAGGCACATGACACTGTGCCCAGCTAAATTTTTTTGTATTGTTGGTAGAGATGGAGTTTCACCATGTTGGCGAGGCTGGTCTTGAACTCCTGACTTCAAGTGATCCTCCTGCCTCAGCCTCCCAAAGTGCTGGGATTACAGGCATGAGCCACCATGCCAGGCCTAGAGTATGGGTTTCTAGTTGACCCTTGCCACCTCTAGTGATCAGACCACAGTGCCTGTTAGGTGGCAGGCACTCAGTAAGTGTGAAATGAACAGGTGAAACGCATGAACCGGCAGAGAGATGAACAGAGGGACTTGCTGGTTTTTGGAGTCAGTATGAATACCTCAACTCTGAAATATGGGAAAATGAGAAAGCCAAACTCAAAGGGAGAAAGGGGAGATGGGGAAACTGAGGTAAAAGGAACAAGGAGCCCCAGCTTTGTGGTCAGAAGATGTTTGGAGGATGAGCAGGAGGTGCTGGGGAGTAGACAGACATCAGCTCATTTTAATTCAAGCCAAGAAAATCTGAGGCAAGGTTTAACCCCACACCCCCACACCCCTTCCCCCACCACCTTCCTGGAAAATTGGCCTGAGCTTCCTGAAGGCTGACTTTCTGGGACACAGGTAGAAAAGTTAAGGAAACATTCTCTAGGCATTGGAAGGCACAAGCAGGCTACAACCCCTCTCAGGAGCTACTCCAAAAGCTGTGGGATGGACACACGGACACTCTGTCTTTCTGGCTGCCCTCCCCTCCCCCTGCTCAGGCAGCTCTCAGCTCTTCCCTCTGGCAGCTGCCTCTTAGGGTGTTCCCTGGCCGGGGCAGCTGGGCGGGCAGGAGCTGCAAGCAGGTATCCAGATGAGAAACCACTTGCAGGCCAGGCAGGCAGTGGGCGGTGATGTCATCCCACAGAGGCCACTCTGGATCCCCTCCCAGCCAAGGCCTGCAGAACTGGGGGCTGGAAGAGTTGGCCTGAGCGGGGAGGGGGCAGTGGAGGGAGCCTGGTGTCTTTAGATGAGGCGTGCTTGGCAGGAGCATGGAGAAGGGGTGTACCTCTTCTAAAGAGCAGAGCCTCTCCTAGGTTGTAAGGGGTCTTTGCATGAGTCTCATCCAGGGGTAGACCCTTGAGCTTTATTACAGAGCCCCTGGCTGGACCTGCTGGGGCCTTGGGAGTCCCCTAGACCCCTGCCCCACCTTGCCTCACATCTGCATTCCTCCAGTTACCACCTGGATGGGACCCTGGCTGCCAACTGAAATTCTCAACTAGGCTTTTGCCAAGTCAGTCCCATGCTCCAATGCCTTCCATGGCTCCCTGCTGCCTATAGAATAAAGGCCAAATTCAAGTTCAGTCTTTCTTGCCAATCTGAGCTCCCCAAGTTCCTTGATCCCCATCCCCCACACCACCATTCCATACAACATTTATGATTCAACACCCATGTATCAAGCACCCACTAGGCGCCAACACCCAACACCACCGCTCCATGCAGCTTCTTACTTTCCAAGCCTTTGCTCTCGCTGCTGCCCCCTGCTGGAATGCTTTCCCTTCTCTCTACCAATCCCAATTCTCCCCAGGCATGTCTGCATGCTGCCCTCCAGGAGGCTCCTGATCACTGTTCCCTCTCTTCTGTTCCCTCTTGGATTGCATGCTGGGCATTGCTCCCCAACCAATCCATGTGCCTTGAACAAGAGTCTCTCAATGCCCCAGGACTGGTGCCACAGGACATGACATGGGACATAGTAATTACCCGAAATTCACGATGGAAATGCTAAGAATTCTAATCTAAAGGTCTGAGGTCCAGTCCTGCTTTGCCCTTTCTAGCTCTGAGACCCTGGGGAGGACATGTAACCTCTCTTGAGCTTCAGCTTCATCTGGAAACAGGATCAATAGCAGTTCCAACCTCATGGGAATTGTTCTGAGCATGGAATGGAGTGACAGGGCTTCAAGTCCTATGGAAACCATAGATGGTCATTTTAAAGCAAACAGGGAATGGGAGACCCGGGGAACAGCAAAGGTGTTGGTTCCTTCATGGGCTCAGAACCAGCAGGCAGCTCAGTGCCAGGGCTACAGGTGCCAAGAGAAGGGTGGGGAATGCCAGGCTAAGCAACCTGAGGCCCCTGATCTACAAGGGTCTCGAGTATCAGCCCTTACTTCTGCGTTTCCTGTCTCATATCTCAAAGAACCCTCCAACACTCCAGATGGAGAAACCAAGGCCCAGAGAGACTCCAGCCTTGGACTCCCGGTCTGGCTGAGTTTTCCCCCAGCCCACACTGCCTCCCCAGGCCTCTCGCTCCAAACAGCTGGGTTCATATTGAGATGTGGTTAAGTGTCCTCCCAAGGGACACAGAACTAGTAAGGCCCTGTGCTGGCTTCTACCCCAGGCTCCCCACGACTCCCCAACTCTGAGCATCCTACAAAAGTCCCTCTAGCCCCTTACAACTGGTTCCTCCCAGGCCGGACTGGGGCTGCCGGCCCCTCAGCTATACGTTTGGTGAATAAAATGTGTTGCTGTGGGCCAAGTGGGCTCTGGCTCACTGGCGTGTGGAGAGGGGAAAAAGGGAAAGGAGCCCAGCGATTAGCTCAGGCCCAGGCCGACGTCACAGGAAACTCCAGAAGGACGATTGCAACGCCCTCCGACCCACTGCTTTCTCTCCTCCTCTGGGCTCCTCCCAACACATCCACCTCCCATTCCCCGCCCACAGCGGCAGCAGAAGGGGCTGAGCTCTGGGCTCTAAACCCTGGGGCTGGCTCAGCCCCACTGCCCCCCTCAGCTCCGACCCTTCTGCTTTGTCCCCCATTTTTCCAGCCTGAACCTCTGCTCTCAGGTTTGGAGCTGGAGGGTCAGGGTGTGTAACAGTCTCAGAAATGGAGGGGCTCCAAAGAAGACCCTTCTGGAAATTCCATCCGTCCTCTGACCATCTCCATCCAGGAGCTGAGAACCCAGCTATCTGGGTTTCTCTGCCATGGTCCCATAAGACCAAAGGCTGGAGGCGAGTCCCTGCCCTCTGCCCAGCTCCTCCCAGACACAGGGCAAGGCCCCAGTCCCTGAGGGCCATCTCGGCCAGGCAGGCCTAGCTCTGGATTGCTGGGCATGGGGGCTGTGACCCACCCTCAGTCAGTCACAGAACTACCCCACCCCCTGCCCCAAACCTCCAGCTCCCCAGTGAGATCACTGGAAACCAGGCTTGGGTGTCAGGGCCCTCTGCTCTCTGCCTCAGTTTACCTGCCTAAAGTGAGATGAACCATCTTTGGCTGGGCTCTCTTACTGGGAAGGCCAACTGAGATAAGGCTGAAGATGGCGAAAGCCCCACCAGTGCCTAAGCACTTTCTGTGTGCCAGGCTCCCCACGAAGAGGAATGGCTTTTCCTTAGGGAGTTACGCACCCTACCCAAGGCAGCATAGCCAGGACGTGGCAGAGCTGGGATTCAAACCCACACACCCTTCATCCAGAGCACATGTGCTTACATGCTGAGCTATGTGGTCACTGCTCAGCTGCTCAGCAAAGGGCCCCACATTTGGGGAGGCAGAGGGCAGAGCAAGTGGCAGACCCCCCGCCATGCTGGCAGACAGCTGCTGGACATCACAGGGAAGCATGCGGAGGGCCTGCAGGCACCGGCTCCTGTGCACACTGGCCTGGGACACATGCTCACACGAATGCACGCACGCTCGGCAGTACCTGTCACGTCCTTCTTGGGTGACTCAGCCCAGCTGGACAGCCACACTTCAGAGTCCCCGAGAGCAAGCGGCAGCAGGAGAGGAGAACCAGAGAGAGAACTGTTAGGCAGGCAGGAGATCCACAGTGAGTGGCTGCAGGCTCCACGGCAGGCGGAAGGCGGAGGAGGGAGGGGAGTGATTTCCTGGCCCTGGGCTGGCTGTTGGGCGGGGGCCTGTGTGATTAGAGAGGCGCTGGGACACAGCCGGCTGGGACAGGGATAATGAGGTGTCTGCCGAAACGCAGGGCTTCTCTGGAGCACAGAGAATCCTACACAATCCTCCTTGGAACAGGGCCCGTGGTTATCACAAGGCAGGCTGACCCTTCGTCTCTGGCCATGTGGGTGGCTGGGTCCCACAGGGCCTGGTGGTTCCAAGGATCCTCAAAGGCCAGCGGGCTCAGTGGCCTGGACCCAGAACCTCAAATGTCAGGGTTGGAGCACCCAGGGCCCATCTCTAGGCCTGGGGGCACCACACCCACTGGACCCTGCTGTCTCATCCAGCCCTTACTGCAGCCCCACCCATGGAGGAAGACAGATCGGCCCCAGCAGAGCAGAAGGGAGCATCATTTTAGAGTCTCGTTCCCCAACCCCAATGCAGAAGGACAGGGACCTTGAGTGACCAGAAGAGATGAGGGCTCTACTCCAGGCTCACAGTGGTCTCCAATCTGGGCCTCAGTTTCCTCACCTGTGAAATGGGATTTAGAGTTGTCCTCCTGCCAAGAGGAAGGAGCAAACTCAAAGCAGCATGAAGAACATATGATTGAGATATGATACCATTAACATCTGAATGAGGCAGAAAGCTCTGTCTAATCAATGGTTTGCGCATTTCTAGAATAGAAGAGAAGAGGGCCATCGGGTCAAGAGCGTTGGTGCAGTTGAACTACAGTGACTCATTTCGCCCCCATGGCAATCCCGGCAATCCCGTCATGTGGGTAGGCATTTTTAGCCCATTTTACAGGGGAGGACCCTCAGACATAGAAACAGGTCTGGTGGCATCCCCAGGCTGCTGCTTTCTCTGCTGGGCTGCTCGTCACCTCCAAAGGAGCAGAGCACTGGCTGCAGTGGGGACAATTACAAGGCACCGCTGAACTGCAGGTCTGAGAAACAAACCCTCGCCCTGCCTACCAGGCACTTGCCAGGAGAGCAGCCTGGCCCATCCAGAGAGTAGTGATAAATAGCAGCAAACACTTCTACAGCATTTCCCCTCTGCCAAGCGTCCTGCTGAGCACTCTGCTTATAGTAACTCATTATTTTTCCCAACAAACCTACAAGGATAGGTACTAGTATCCCCTCCATTTTGCAGATGAAGCAACTGAACCAGAGAGGTTAAATAACTTGCCCAAGGTCACACAGCTAGTACAGCAGTGTCCCTCTATTGCAGGGACACACACCTCAGCTGATCAGAACTTGATGCTGCTCTCTATTTTAAGCACCTGACTCTTTCCCTCTCTCAGCAAGCCACCTTCCAAATGCAGGTTGGCTCCCAGTGTAGAACTGGGAAGCCCGGCCCCCTTCCGGTTCTCGCTGTAAATTAGCAGAGTGCTAGCAATGCCTCTGGGGTCTGACTGCCTGGGTTCAAATCTAGGCTCTGCTCCTTTAAAGAAGTGACTTACCCTCTCTGAGCCTGTTCCTGAACTTATAAAAATCTGGATGATGTGATACAGTTACCTTCTGGGTTACTGTGAGGATTAAATTGGATAAAATGTAATAGTGCCCAGTGCAGTGCCTACTACGTAGTCAGTGCTCAGTAATGGTTAGCTGCCACTGGCAGTAACTCCCATGAGCGTAGTTAGCAAGCGCCTACCTCCCTGGGTTCAATCAGCTCTGGGGACACTAAGAAAATCATGCCCCGAGCTGCAAGGACAAGAACTAGACGACATTCGACACTGGATGCACCAAGAAAAAGCTGGCACCCTGTTAGACATACTGCCCCACAGTCACTCCCAGACCCCAGGCCATCTGGAATGGAAGGGAGAGAAACTCCTGGGGACCTCACCCAGAGACAAACAGGGCAAAATCTGAGGTGAGACCCCCTCCCCAGGTTCAGCAGTCAGCAGCCGCCTTAGGGAGCAGGAGCAATGCGGGTGCAGCTTTCCAGCCCAGGTAGGGCTGAGACAAGGTAGACACACCAAGAGCCATGAGGATTTCAGCTGGTGTGGCCAAGGAGGGCTGAGTTCAGAACGTGGGTGTCGCTGCCTGGTGCCCACATCTTGCTGAAGTTCCAACTCCCTGCTGCTGTACCCCAGAGATGTGGCCAAGTGGGCTGCCCGTTGCAAGGCCCTGAGATGCCCCTGAGCGGGCCTAGCACCAGGCCCATCCCAGCCCCATCTGGCCCTCTCTCCACTGCAGTTCGCTTGACCACTGGTCTACTTTGGGTTCTTCTGGGTTCTTCATAAGGAAACCTGAGAAGCACTAACCTCTCTCAGTGAGCCAAGGAAAGGTGTTTGGCTTGAGCCTGGAGAACCCAAGAAGATCTGTTCTGCTTGACGGTGCTTGCAAAGGGCCAGAGAATAAACACGGTAGGCTTTGGGGGCCATATGGTCTCTGTTGAGACTACTCAACTCTATTCTTATAATACAAAAGCAGCCACAGGCAATACATCAAACAGAGTGGGCTGTGTTCCAATAAAACTTTATTTATAAAACCACAAGCTGGGGCAGGATGTGGCCTGTGGGCAGACAACCAGAGCTCATGCTTGTCCCCTTCAGCCCCCATAAGCGGCCCTTCCCATATCTCTCCCTAAAGGAAAATGGGAAGCAGATCAGAAGTAAGCCTGTCTTTCTAAAAAGAAACCTCTCTCTAAAACATGATTTAGTTCCCAGTCCCCTGACCTGTGGAATTAATCCAGTTCTGCTGTTCCCACTCAAAGTCCCCCCCTTTTGTCTGGCCCACCCTAGCAAGCTCTTGAGGGGTGGGAAGGACCCCTTCTCCCTCATTACAATGAACAGAGGAGAGAGAGCCCCTGGCTCACAGACCCTGGCCCTCCAGCCAGGAGGCAGACAAGGCTGTCAGCTAAGGGCCGGGAAGATGTGGAGTTGGAGAGACAGAGAGACGGGGTTGAAGGAGCAGAGAGGGGCACAGCCAAGTGAGCAGCTGTGACTGACATGAACCAACTGCTTCCTGCCTTCCCCGTCTCTGCCTCCCTCTCCTCTGGTGACCCAGAACCAAGGGCCTTACAGAGCAGGGTCCCAGGCCTGCCGGAAAGTGAAGGGTATCAGACTGGAAACCTGCACCATGGCTTTTCTGAGAACGCACTGTGTGGTCTTGGGCAAGTGGCTTAAATACTCTGGGCTTCAGTCGGCCGTGGTGGTTCACTCTGTAATCCCAGCACTTAGGGAGGCCGAGGTGGGCAGATCACTGGAGGTCAGGAGTTCAAGACCAGCCTGGCCAACATAGCAAAACCCTGTCTCTACTAAAAACACAAAAATTAGCTGAGCATGGTGGTGAGCACTTGTAATCCCAGCTACTCGGAAGGCTGAGGCATAAGAATTACTTTAACCCAGGAGGCGGAGGTTGCAGTGAGCTAAGATCGCGCCACTGCACTCCAGCCTGGGTGACAGAGCAAGACTGTCTCAGTAACTGACTAAATAAATAGTCCAGGCCTCAATGCTCACATCTGTACAGGTAAGCGTTTAGGCCTATTGCCCCTGTCTGACAGCCTGCCTGAGGCAGTTGTCTGATGTTCTAGACCTTCGCAGCAGAAAACTGGTAGTCTCCATAATGCAAGTGGACCACAGCGGAAATGAATCTTTCCAGAGAAATAGACTGCCCTTCCTGGGCAAACTACTTGAATGCAGGTTCAATTGAGGCAACTCCAGTCCAAAACAGCAGATGATTCAGGAGGCACAGAGGGCAGAGATCTGGAGCAAGAATAAAAGCAACCTTGGTTCTTGTGCTGGCATTGCCACTTAGCTTGCTGACTCTGGGATAGCTGGCAAATCTCCGAACCTCTTTTCCTTCTTTTGTCAATGGGGAGAAAACACCTGCCCTGCTTCTTTGCAGGGTTAAGACTGAAATGGCCTAATGTCTAGGAAAGGTTTTGTTTGGAGGGCTGGGAATTAGGCCTTTGGACACGAAGAGGAGTAAGTGGTAGGGGCAGAGCTGAAAGTAAAAGCAGCAGGCTCCTGGGAAATGGCAGGCAAGGGTCCCTCCCTCATACAGGCCATAGCGTTCATGTCCCTGCCATGGCTGTACCTCCTGCCATTGCTCGCAATACCAGCAAGGAGCCAGGCCAGGGGAAAACCAGGGGCCTGCAGATTACAGCCAAATACAGGTACCCAAGGGCACTCAGATGCTGAACCTGATTCTTGACAGGCCCAGGTGATGCTGGGAAACCAAAGAACAACACTGCAGGTGCCCCTGACTTTAAGGACACACCCCACTGCCACCCAGCACACATACACCCAAGGACTTCATAAGAACACCTGAATAGGCCTAGGTTAGGAGAGGGTCCTTCAGAGATACCTCTGAAGATGGTATCTCAACTGTTCACCATCAGTTACAGGTCACACTCCTGGTTCTACTCTCTCTCCCCGTCTCACTACTGCATTCGATTGGTCTTAAAAAAAATAATAATAAAGGTGGCTCATGTCTGAAATCCTAGCACTTTGCGAGACCAAGGTGGGAGGACTGCTTGAGCCCAGGAGTTGGAGACCAGCCTGGGCAACATAGTGAGATCCCATCTTTACAAAAATAAAAATTTAGCCAGCCGTGGTGATGCACGCCTGTGGTCCCAGCTACTCTGGGGACTGAAGTTGGAGGACTGCTTGAGCCCAGGGAGGTTGAGACTGCAGTGAGGTATGATCATGCCACTACAATCCAGACTGGCCAACAGAGTGAGATCCTGTCTCAAAATAAATAAAAGTATTAATTAATAAAGGAGCCTTATAGATTCATAGTAAGGCTTCTTTCAGCCTTGAGTAACTCCAGAGCAGTGAGAATTGGGTTGAATTTATCCAAATCTAGTCTCAAACCATGTTTCCAGGAATGCTTCCCTGGTGTAACGCAA